AGGCTCCCGAGGGCGGCCGCCATGCCCTGCCCGCAGCGGGTCAGTCAGCTGCTGGATCTGTGAGTCCGCCTCGCCCGCCTCCCCTTCGCCCCGCCCCGGCACCGCGGCGCCCGCCGCCGCGCGCGGCTCCCCTTCCCCGCCCCCTTCCCGCCTCCCGACCGCTGAGCAGGCCCCGCGGGTGTTCGCGTTCCCGGGTCCCGCAGGTGGTGTCGGCTCCTCGTTGAGGACAGTCCTGTCCAGTGGGCTGCGGGCAGGCTCGCCCCGCTGTTCTCTGCCCGCAGATGGGGTCCGAACCCGTTGTCAGCCTTGACAGCTCAGCGCCCGGACGCTTGCTGGCGGCGGCCTGTCTCTGACGGGAGCTGAAAGCCTTGGTCAAAACAAAACAAAACACTAGATGGGGCTGTCAGAAGCCTTCAGCCAAGTTCCACCCAGTTACTGTAACGGGAGTAGATACTGATTGTTTAACCCAGCGCTCAACTCCCTGAGTGCGCTTGCTGAGTTCAGCTCCCGGCTCTGCCATTAACCAGCTGTGCAACCATGGGAGAGTAACTTGACCTCTCTGTGCCCGAGTTCTTGATCTACAAAATGAGTGTAAAAACGGTAGCTGTCTCATGGTGTTGTAGTGAGGAATAAATTTAGCATGTTTAAATACTTAGAAGCCTGCCTAGTATTAAAAGAGATTTCAGAGAGCTTTACTTGTTATGAATATTTTATTGAGGGAGAAACCAGAAGCATAGTGATCTTGAAGAAGTCGCCTCACCTTTACAATGGTTATTACAGTGGGCGTTTACAGATGGCAAGGGACTTGTTAAAAGTGATTATGTTATGCTGTTTTAAGAAGACGACTTCAGTCGAGGCATTTGCAAGAAATAACCTGTTAGGTTTCACTTATGTTCATGAAATAGACTATATTTGGTTTCACTTACGTGGCCTAATTGGTTTGGTCTACTTGGAGATTTTCAAGCATCGTCTCCACTTTATTTTATTTTTTTAAAACTCCCCCTTTTGATCATTCAGCAAGCTGAATGTGAACCAATATAGTATTACTCTAGCTACCATCTTTGATGTGGTCATTGGGATGGATGGTCATGTAATTAATCGCTGTTATTGACAGTTGCATAGTCACCCTAGATGTGGGCAGTGGATCACTGAGGTCTTCTAGTTGTCTAATCCTAATGGATAACATTTGACGTGTGAGTGGCTGCTGAAAGGCATTTAAAAATCTTGAGGGGATACAGCGCACTAGGGAGGTTAATATGGTGACTATGGGGAGAGTAATAGCCAAGGACTGAAAAATTCTTCAGAGCATAGATTTGCAAGAGCCTTGATTTAACCAACTGAAAAATAAAGGCAAGAAACGTTGCCTATTTGATGAAAGATTGGCATCTGATCTTTAAGTTTTTTTGATTTATTAACATAGAAACAACTTTTTTTTTTTTTGCCAGTTACAGTACATGCCCCTCAATCTTGGGTGGTTTGGGTGTCTAAGGCAATGCAATTGTCTAATGTAACTCTGGTTAGAGAATATATAGATTCTTGCTGTAATTGTAGAAATTTTGCAGAGGATAAGGTCTCTCCTAATGAGATTTAAGTTCAGTCTTTTGTTCGCGTCTTTTCCAATAAATTAAGTGTCTAGGTTCTGATGTGTGGGGCACATTGTCTTCTTTGGGAAGCAGATCCCAGAAAGCTTTTTGGACCTGGTGAAAATAAGCCTTTTAATATTGCGTTAGTGCCTTACGGTACTGAACCATGTCATGATGACTTAGGGTAAATAGGAGGATGTCTTATTTTAGGAGGTAGTGTTATAGGTAAATGTCCATCTAGGTAGGCTTCTACATGGTGTGAGCAATCAGGTACTTAAGAAGCATTTCTATGGAAACAAAAGAAAGACAAAGTTTAATGGTTGGAGCAAATTATAAAGGCAGTTTTTGAGTCTAGAGAACCAGCCGGTCAAGAAAATTTCTGGACTTGAGCACGAATGTTAGATGGTGGAATAAGATGGCCGTTTTAAACTGATAGATTTTCCTGGTTTGCAGTTTGAATGTGTTTGTTGATGTCATCAGGTGTTCTGGGGAGCTCTCTGAGTGGCCCGCACACAAGTAGGTATGAAGGTTTTTTTTGTCTATATGTGACCTGTTATGGTGATTTCTCTGAAGTTGTATCAAGACCTACCTACAGCTTTAGCTTGTAGGGTTTGGGGAAAAGGTAATTTTAGTTTTAATTTCAGGTCAGAAGGCTGGGAGAAAACTGGAGATACTAGATTGGAGAGTCATAGCCAGATATTGGAGAAGACTCACAGAGTTCAGGATCCAATCCAGTTTACAGAAAGATACAGAATCTCAAAGGCAATGAACAGGATTAGACTCTGATTATGGGTATGCCAAAGTTTTCGGTTTAAACATAATTTTTTGTTCTGTAGTCACCTCATTTTTACCAAAGATAATCAGAATGGCTAATTCGTTTGTAAAACAACTCTATAACTTTCGTCTTTTAAACTTGGCTTATTTACGTAAGTGCAATAAGAATAGTGATTTTATGCACATCCTCAAATATGATATTCCAGTCAAAGCTTTGGTTGTTTTCCAGGGGGTTTTATTGGCTCCATAAAGTCAACCTTAAATCCTTAAAACTGATAATAAGAAAATTCAGATTAGATCTTTAAAAGCCCCTTTATGCTAAGAAGCCAAGCACAGGACTCGTCCAGTATGTCCTGTAATAAGGAGAACTGATTGTTACTGAATTTGTGCAAATATCTATATTGCCATGAAAATAAGAATACTTGATAAGAGGGGTTTGTTGGTTTGTTTGGTTGTTTAATTCTGAAGGGATCAGATAAGGAGAAAAAGATACATGTTTCTTTTTTGTTAACAAAAGTATACTACTTCAAGTTGTTGTAAGTTATAAATAGCTTAACAGAAAAGAGAAAAGGGGTTCTTTAAATCTGGAAAACAGACATTAAAGAACCGACAGTGTTTCAAACAAAGTCATAAAAATCATAATTATCTTCATCAGTTCATTTGGTCCCATGTAGTTAATTCTTGTTTTGCTTGATCTTGGGTTAGCGGTTTTATGAATTAAATAGTTTCTCCATTAGAGTTCTCCATCCTTACTCAGTTTGAAGTGGTATGATCTTAAAGTTATCAGATGCCTTTATTATAGAGTACTTGTCAAGATCTTTTCCATGAATCTCCATAAAGACAAAGCATTTTGGCCTGTATATGATTGTAAACGCTTTCAGAGAAGAATTAAGAGTAAAACAGTAACTGGCTGTGAATGACAAAAGATTTTTAATAGCCATCATTAAAGATCTGGTGAGAGTTCACTATAAAAAAAATGATGCAGTTGACAGGTAAATTTGATTATTTCTGTGACACGATATTTTAAGATAATAACTAGAATAGTAACTGATAACATTATACCAAGATATGTCAGATTTCTAGGAATTTCATGTAATTTCTGAAACACTTATATCAATAACATATATCCATACAAATATAACCTGTGAGAGGTAAAACATCACCTTTATTTGACAATGCTTCCTATGCAATTTAACGTATTAAGAAAGAGCCTAGTTGGTTTAAACATCCTCCTTTCCTTCTGAAGGTTTTACAGTACGCTTGTGATCATTAACCAGTTTTTTTCTCTTTTACTTAAATGACCAGTTGAGACAAACAGTTCTGAGACCGTTCTTCCACCATTAAGAATGGGATGGCAGGTATTGGGGATAATATTCATTTAGCCTTTTGAGCTTTCTGTTCTTGTCCACTGCTTTGAGAACACCCACAGCAGATCACAGAAAGCTTTTTGGACCTGGTGCAAATAAGCCTTTTAATATTGCGTTAGTGCCTTACAATATTGAACCATGTCACGATTACTTACGTAACAGGATAAACAGAGGGTTGTCTTATTTTAGGAGGCAGTTTGTAGGTAAGTTTCCACCTAGGAAGGTTTCTATATGGTGTGAACAATCAGGTCTTATGTCACGGACAGCAAAATGGCCCAGAGGAGTATAGTGCTTAATGACAAAAGAGGAAACAACACATTAAGAAAAATTATCCAAGACTTGGAATTAAAACAAAAAGATGACCATATGACCTTCATTGTCATACAAGGGTGTTGTCTCCCATGTAAAGGTCCATATTTGCCTTTAGAATAGTATTTTCTAATGTTTAGGGACAAGTTATGGTCAGACTGACAGTTGGTCAGCAAGTTATTTCGGGGTTACCTTGGTTTCTATTACCTTAGTAACAGGATAGCTTGATCCAGAACAGCAGTGAACCGTTTTACTAAGTGCACTGTTTAGTCCAGAGGATGGGGCTTCTCCAGGAGGGAAACTGCTCAGCTTACATCCTTGACTAAGCTCCTAATCCCCTTACTGACTAGCACTTGGAGTAGCCCTGCCACAGAGAATCCTCTGGATCTGAGATATGGCGAAGAGTTTTGAATAAAGGAACCAAGGAAAGACAAAAGTAAAAAAATACTCCTAAGTTTTTAGCTTCATTGACCAGGAGAATGCTGGTATCATTAGATAATTGTGGGGGAGTAAATGTCCTATCAGGAAAATTAATCAGAACATCCAGTTGAAATATCAAATAGGCTGTTAGAAATACATATTTTTAAAAATTTTTATGCAATTTCTGTAAACTAACAACAGCAGTTCACCCACTTCTCCCCTTTTCCACAGCTGCCTCTACCAATGTACATTCCCACCAGCAGTGCACGGGAATTTCCTTTCCCCGCATCCTCCCCAGTGCTTGTTATTTGTTGTCTTTTTGATAATGGCCATTCTGGCTGGTGTGAGGTGATTTATCATTATAGTTTTGATTTGTATTTCCCTGATTTGTGATGTTGAGCATCTTTTCATGTACCTGTTGGCCATTTGTATGTCTATTTTGGAAAAATACAATATTTAATCTGAAAGAGATATCAAGGATTAAGTCTAAGATTAGGAGTAAATAACTTATAGATGGTAGATGAAGCCATGGTTAAGTTTAAGGGAAAGGATACAGAGAGAGGAAGAGGAGGCCAAAGACTAAATTTTACGCAACACTTACATTAGAAGCAGGCCATTTTGCCCAAAGCCATTGCTTTGTTAGATTAATTCATCATATAACTTATTGGCTAATTATTAATAGGTTGTTTCTTTTAACTATAAAATTTAGAGCAGTTCATACTGGATGAGATATCTACCTCTTTCCTCACCACAGTTTTGTTTTGTTTTGTTTTGTTTTGTTTTTTACAGCTTTTAAAGATTTGTTAAGTTTTAACTGACCAATTTTTCATTTTTTCTTGAGAACTGAGACCACCTGTGTCAACCTTTAGGCTTGAGAACTGAGATTACTTATGTTAATATAACTTTTTGTTCTAGAAAATGTTTGCAATCAATTTATATAAATAAACATTAGTTTGTTAGAATAAATATTTCATTGTTCAGTCAACCATCATGTTTATCAGGATAGATTGTCCATAAGCCTAACGTCAAGACCCCGTGTCCCTCAGTGAGACTGCTGGGCCACAGGTTCTGCCTGACCCTGACCCACTCCCATCTTGGAGGGGAAGAACTTTCTTAAACTGCTTGGACTACTCCCCAAAGCCTGAGGGTGCTCTTCCCAGCTTCCCCTACGGAGACATCATCAAAGCCCTGGTAAACGTTTGCTGCAGCAGATTTTTGAAACTTGCTTTGTTTGACCAACAGGCTTTTTGAATGGTCTTTATGAGCCTTTTAATAATTCTCATAGCAGCATTTTAAGAAATATTTGTTTCTGTCTCAGCTCCCTGCTAGTGCTGCTGGAGGGAACTGGAGCAGAAAGAGGACACCCTTTACTGTGTGGAACACATGGCACAGCCTGAGCTCAGAGAAGAGGCCAAGAACCAGATGAAAAAGTCTTAACAGGAGAGGGAGGGGGGAGACAAAAGGTTGGTATTGTGGAAAAAAGGAAACATTTAAAATATAGCTAAGATCTGCAGAAAGGGAAATATTAGGGGAGTGACTGCGGAATTTGACTTGACTCTTCCTTAAGCTATTACGTGTTTTAGCTTTGTCCTGTTTCATGGATGCTGGTAGAAGACCAAAGCCTTGGGTGAGAGACACAAAGGATTTTATTATTCATTGTACAGCAGGCAGCGTGAGCAGTAGCACGTTGATAATACTTCCTCTTGACCTCTGCACAGCAGCAACACAGAAGGCCCAGATGGTTGCCTGTGCAACTAGTGGGTTGGATTACAGGAGAGAAACACTGTATTTGGGGACTCTCCATTTCGTAGGAGACATCACTTCATCCCGCAGTGCTGCTCCTTGTAAACACAACCCTGAGAGGGGCCCACATCAAGCTTATCAGGGTCTTGTATCCTTGTCAGTCCCAGTGAGATGGGTAGGATCGTGAAAAGCCCATAGAAGACTGCTTTTCCCAACATTTCACCATCTTGGCTTCTGAAAGATTATCACCTGAGTATGCCAGTCCTTCACCACACTGAGTAATCTAATCAGCAAAGGCTAAGACCAGATGCATTCAATTTGTGTCATTCAGTGATCAACTAAGGTATTAATAGTGCTCAGAAAGGAGGATGAGGCCAACCTACCGTGTTGACTTCAGTTGTGCTTCCAGGGTCCCAGACTCAAGCAACTATGAGTACATCCCAGAGGAGGCCAGCAGGCCTCCTTTCAGACAGCCAGGATGTAGTGTCAGCCTGAGATAGTCTCTATTATGACCTGTACAAGGAAATTTAAGCTTACCTGTTAATCTCTGGTGGTGGTGTCAGTAACTACAGGGACAATAGGTGAGCCGAAAGGAAATCCCCACCCCGACCGAGAGATACTCCACGGCCTGTTCTTCTTTATATACAAGCACATGAAACAAAGAGACACAGGTCACTTTAGTTTAGATTTATGGTTAAACTTGATTTGGATTACCATGACGTTGTTTTGCCTATATCACATGGGCAAGTGTCACTGAGTAGTTGCAGCCTTGATTTTTACACATAAAATGACCCACAATCACTTGGACGTCAGGAGTAACATGCATCTATATCTCTAATGTTGAAACAAAGTTGTGCCGGTCCATGTCTTGATACCCTCATGAAGAGACGCTAGGCAAAGGAGAATAGTTCAGGGCCTTCCATATCCACGTGAATTTTCTGTTACCGTAACACAGGGACGACAAGGAGAAACCCGGCGGAGGTCAGATTATCAGCTGCAGCTGCTGCTTGCGTCACTCAGGTGAACCATACAGTTCTGCCAAGGTGCAGCGCTGGCTCTAGAGGATGAAGGGAGCACTGATTCCTCCCCTTCCTGAAGCACTTCCCAGGGTCTAAAGTGTTCCTTCCCTAGGTCCTGGAATTACTGCTGTCCCTTACGATCACAAAATTGGTGTGTCCCATACCGGCACATATGACTTCACTTTTTTCCCATCATCTCCTACTCACAGAGGTCAAGTGCAAAAAAAAACAAGGGTCTTTTTACATTTATAGAGATTCATCATATTTCCCACCTTGGTGGATAGGGCTACTATAGGGGGACTTGGTGAGCAGTGTGCTCAACCAAGTGGTCATTTATCTTCGTAGGACAGAGGTTGGCAAGATTTTTATGTAAAGGGCTGAAGAGAAGTATTTTCAGCATTATAAGCCTCTGTCACAATTACTCAACTCTGCCATTGTAGAGCAAAAGCAGCCATATACAATATGTAATGAAGAAACAGTCATGGCTATGATCCAGTAAAACTTTATTTACAAAAACAGGCAGCAGGCCAGGTTCAGCCCTTGGCTTATAGTTTGCTGACCCCTGATCTAGAACCAATTCAATCCAGAAGGAGAATCCAGGTGATGAAACCAGAGTTAAGTTTGAATTCTGTAAGCTCCTTTTTGGCTAAGCTGCCACCCAGGTGCACCAACCAGGCTGGCTTGGGGTCGCTGTTAGGGAAAAGAAGAATGCACTATGCTCAGGAATTGTCAAAGTGGAATCCTCAAATTTCAGGATAGGTCAAGGTAGCCCTCCAGCCATTTCATCCTGATCATTATCTGCTAGGGTTACCAAGAGGATGTGAACTCTTTCAGAGTATGCTTGCATTTAGTGACCAAGCTGCCTCACTTAGATGTGTGGGACCAGGAGAAGGTAAAGTCAGAAATCTCTTTAGTTGACTTTTTTAAAAGGCCATTTACCTCTTCTTGGAGCCAGGAGCCTGAGGATGAAAAGGGATGTGAGATGGCCATTGAATACTTAACTACTGGTCCAGTATTGAGTGGACCTTTGCAATAAAAGACATCACATTGTCAGACTGTAAGCAGTCTAAAAGGCCAAAAACATAACAGTGTATGTTATGGCCAGTGTAGCTGAAGCTGATTGCTGAGACTGGAATAGTGACCCCATAACCTGAAAAGGTGTCAACAACAGTTAAGGCATCAACGGAGGCCCCAAGACGAGGGGTCAAAGGCCCAATATAGTCCACGTGTCAGGAGTGAGAGGGGACATGCAGTGTGGCCTATTTTGCTAGAAGACAAACAGGTGAACTTTTGAAAGGAAGCACAAGGCTGGCATGCAGTGGCAACTTTAACATCAGACACAGGTAACGCCTGCTTCCCCAGGCCGTGGTGGTGGATATGTTGCTGTGTTCACTGTGATGCTGGATTCTCAGTAGCAATGGCAGGGATCTGGGTGGTGCATACTTAACAGCATGATTCAAGCCATTGCCACGTCTGTCTAGTTGTCAGCTGTAATTTGTTTCTACAGTTCACAGTCCTAAAGAGGGATATCTTTAATCTGCCAATCTGCGGTCTTCCAAATGGCAGACCAGGTTACTAGGCAACTGGCAACAGTCCAAGAGTCAGTAACAATATAATATGCCTTAATCTTAGGAGTACTGTCCATTGTCTAAACTGCAAACTGCCTATAAGGTCTAGATAATAAACATTTTCAGCTTTGCAGGCCATACAGTCTCCCTCACAACTACTTAGCTCTGACATTGTAGTGTGAAAGCAACCACAGACAGTGTGTAAATAAACAAACATGGCTGACTTCCTAAAAAATTGTATTTATAAAAGCAGGTTAACAGGTCAGATTTGGCCCATAGGCCACAGTTTTCTGACCCCTGATCTAAGGCAATGGTAACAGCTTTCATTCACCCAGAAACTGCCTTTGAGAGGACCTAGATGTTGGACTTAGCAAAGACTTAAAGAAACTACTGTAAACATGTTCAAAGAACTAAAGGAAGCCATACTTTAAAGAAATAAATGGGAAAACAGCTTGGAAGTTCCTCAAAAAGTTAAACATAGAATCACCATCTTACCCAGCAATTGTACCTGGGTATGTACCCAGCAGAATTGAAACTGGGTACTTGAACAAACACTTGTACCCAGATGTTCATAGCAATACTATTCACAACAGCCAGAAAGTGGAAACAACCAAAATGAATCAATGAATCAATAAACAAAATATGGTATATCCATACAGTGAAACAGCATTCAGCCATAGAAAGGAGTAAAGTACTGATCCATGCTGCAACAGAAATGAACCTCAGAAACATTACGCTAAGTGGAAGAAGCCAGACACAAAAGTCCACATTTATGTGCATTCATTTATATGCAAATACCTGAAACAGAAAATTCCATACCTAGAGAAAGCAAATTGGTAGTTGCCAGGTATTGTAGGGGAGAGAGGATTGGTGACTGATTCTTTAATAAGTGTGAGTTTCCTTTTGGGCTAATGAAAATCTTTTATGACTAGATAGAGGTGGTGGTTGCATAATGTTGTGAATGTACAGAATGCCACTGAATTTTATTCTTTAAATGATTAATTTAAATTATGTGAATTTCACCTCAATTTCAAAAAAGAAAATAAAGGGAATATTCTGCAACATATTCACAATGAAAGTTCAAACCATTACGCTGAGCATATGCATACACTGTGAGCCAGGAGTTTCACTCCTAGATTGAAACACAGGCACATGTGCACCAAAAGACCTGTCCAAGAATATTCATATTAATATTCATAATAAAAAATCATAAACCACCACATTGTACATCAACAGTAGAATAGATAAATAAATTGGTCAGACAGTGGAATATTATGCAGCAATGAAAACGGACATGAACAAACTGAAAATAAAAATGAACAACCTGTAGCTATCTGCAACAAGGTAGATGAATCTCACAAACATGTTAGCAAAAGAAGCTAGAGACAAGTGGTGGAGCAACTGTAAAGCCAGACTGAATAGAATCTAAAGTGAGACACATCCATAGAGATGGAGATACTACTTAAGGGTAAAAGGAATAGTCCACAAAAAGATAAAATGATCATGAATTTGCAGCTAACACCATAGCCATATAAAAAGAAACACTGTCACAGTTACAAGGACAATTGACCAATTCAGTCATGGTAGGAAGCTTAATACAGTACATTTTATAAATGCAAAAACAGTATGTTCCTTATGGTTATATACTTTAGTATTAAAAGTATTATAAAATCATGGACAGAAACTATTTTTAAAACTTCATGGCAGCAGTTGCCTCTGCAAAGGGAGATAAAGAGAGTAACCTGAATAGGTAGATGAAGGAGGCCTTAATTTTATCTGAAAGGCTTTATATCTAAAGAAAGATATCTGACACAATGTGATAAAACAAATTTTAAAATTCTAGGTTTTGGGTACATTGACTTAAACTATTTTATTTTTCTATATTTTGGAAAATTTTCATTGTAAAATAGTAATGCACATAAACAAGCAAAAACTAGTAGAAATGAAAACTTGATTTCAGTCTATGAGTATTGTAAACTAAGAATTCTATAGATTTAGTAGAAAAAAATAACACAAGAATTAGATAAATACTATCAATAAACAGTCATTTACACGTATTTCTGTGCACATACATATGCATACACAGAGACAGCATATATAGGCATGCATATGTAATACACAGAGAACATTATCTCTCTCACATAGAAGATACACATTCTCTGAATATTTATGGAGCATGTACAAAATCAGTCATGTATTCGGCCACAAAAACAGCTCTTACAAATTTGAGTGAAAACATAGCAAAATAGGCTAAGGATATGAATAGACAATTTAAAGAAAAGAATATCCAGATAGCCAGCAAGTTTATGAAAAGATACTAAATTTACTACTTAATAGAGAAATATAAATTAAAGTAATAATGAAATACCACTTTTCCCCCGTGAGATCTTCCAACATTTAAGAGTAGCTAGATCTTAAAAACAGTGCTGAGTGAAAAACTAAACAAATCTATGACAAATACCATATACATAAATTAGAAATACATGCATAATCATCAAGTAAAAGAGACACATACAACAAAAGGATACACATTAGACCTTAGAATCATTTCCTGCAGTGATGGGGGATGGGATTGGGAAATGGACATAATGGAAATAAATGGAAAAATAAATAAAATATACGATCATATGTATTGCTTGAGGGATGTAGAGGAAAAGGAACCATCCCACATCACGGATGGAAATGTGAAGGAAACAACCTGACAATGTATGTTAACATATCCTAGAAACAGTGGAAAGCTCATCAATAGGGGGGTAACTAAATGAGTCATCCACACTGTGAAATACTGTATAGCCATTAACAGAGGAGTAAAACTATCCTCGATGCTTTGAAGAATTTCATAAGATATTATTGAATGAGATAGAATGTGGAAAAGTGAGGATACAATGATGCCAGTCTAGGAGACAGTGATCTCTGCCCACCCCCAACCTAACCCTTTAAATGTGTGTGTGAGTATACACATACATATGTGAGTAAATGTTTGTGTGTGTACAGCACAGAGGAAAATAAGGAAAGAACATACACTGAAACAGTGTGAAAAACCAAACTAACGGAAGAGGGAGGGGGGTAGGAGAGGGAAAGAAGGAGCAACCAAAAGAGGAAAAGAAAAAGTTAAGATTGCACTGAACCAGGGGGGAGGGGGTGGGAAGGGACAGACTGGGAGTTCGAAATTTCTAGATACTGACAGGCATATGTAGAATAGACAAACAAGATTGTACTGTATAGCACAGGGAATTATATACAAGATCTTGTGGTAGCGCACAGAGAAAAAAATGTGACAATGAATATATGTATGTTCATGTGTAACTGAAAAATTGTGCTCTATGCTGGAAATTGATACAACATTGTCAACTGACTATAACTCAATAAAAAAAAAGATTGCACTGAAAAAATTCAAGTGTATGACCATATTTATTTATGAATATAATTGTATATATGTGGGGGTATTCGTAGGCAGAAATTCAGTAAGATTTGTACTTGTTTAAAGTATGAGTTTCTCACATGGTTGGAATTTCAGGCCACATGTGAGATATGTAGGTCATACGAGTCTTGGTGGTTGCCTGCTTTGATAACTCTACTTTATGCATGTATAATCCTGGCACTGTTTGTTATCTCTGTGAGTTGTACTGTTTGTGGAATCTTTGTGGTTATAGTTCTTTCTTGAGTAACTTCAATACCTGCATAATTTTTAAGAAAAATAGTGAAAACAAGTTTGTTGGATTAACAAATAAAACCTGTCAATTAGTAGGCCCTGGTTTAATGTCTGCTTAGGAGTCTGTGACTGAAATCTTGGCGGTAGCTGTGTCTTAGGAATTAGAGAGACTAACTTGGGAAAATACTTTTTTTTTTTTGTCATTTAGAATGCATTTTAGTAAATGAGATATGCTGAGAAAAAGTTGTAGAGGAGAAGTAATTTGTCCATAACTGAGCACAGACTAGGCTTTTGAATCTTACCAAGCTAAGTTGTAAATATTCATATAAAATGTACACCCTGTTTATGAAAGGGTTAAGTGCTAACAAATAGCATTAAATAAATACTAGGAATCGGTACCTGTTCAGTGTGATTGACTGTTGTCTTTTGTATTTCAGATGCCTTTGGTGCTTCATGAAGAATATTTCCAGATATATCACAGACATTAAGCCTTTGCCACCCAACATAAAAGACAGACTGATCAAAATAATGAGCGTGCAGGGGCAGATAACAGATTCAAATATAAGTGAGGTAAGGCTATATGCTAATAACTACTGTGAAGCAGGCATATTTTACCGTTCAGATATGGTTTCAGATTTTTGGAACAATAGTTTGTAATAGGATTAGTCATCATTTCAAAATATAATAAAGCATTGGGAGTCTTTTTTTTCTCCGGATGACTAAAATGTCCATGTGTAATGGTTTCTAAAAAATCTTCTCCCACCATTCTTTCAGTTGTTTCCCTTGTCTTCATGGTACCAGCACCTGTGATCTCCAGTACTTTCAAAAAGTTTTAAACTTTTTGATAAAAATAATATCCTTGGGGAAAGGGTAGAGCTTAGTGGTAGAGCACAAGCTTAGCATTCACGGGGTCCTGGGTTCAATCCCCAGTACCTCCATTAAAAATAAATAAATAAAACTAATTACCACATACTCCCCCCAAAATTATCCTTAACAAAGTTGGGAAAAAACCTGCAATGCAGGGTGAATAAACAAATGGAAAAAAAAATCACAGTAAGAAATACATATGTTACATCGTGATTCTAGGACACAGATCGCACCTGTGTGTAACAACACTGTGTGCGGTACACTTGGATAGTTTCTGTTTTATTCTAGTATGTCTTATTTCATTAAAAAATGTTGATCATAGCCTACTAAATTGATTTTATCCTTTCATATATAACAGTCAGTTAAAAATCACTCTTCTAACCTCTTCGCATTCTTTAGGATAGCTCACTCCAGCTAATGTATACTTAACTCCCCTTCCCTACAACTCAGCGAAAATGAACTATTCTGTAAAACAGTAAGTATAGTAAAGGCCTCCAATCTGAATTAAAATCCCGTTTTTGCCACTCTTTCTGACATTGAACCTCAGTTCTCTTAACTGTAAAATGGGTTTGTGGCTGTCATCACTCACTGCCTACAGAGACTGGAGGTACTTACTGCTGACCTTACTACACATTCTGCCCACAATCTGTGATCAGAAGGAGGCAGGCTTTCGTGACAACGCTCCGCGTACGTCTACAGAGGTCACTTCACATTGTAATTGTGCTTCGATGTGCCATTTAAATTTCCTCTGTGTTAAAGGCATGTGCCTTTAGTGGTTTATTTTCTTCATGTTAGCTTGCATTTGAACAGACACATTTTAGTGTTGTCATCTGCCTGGCTCTGTGGAGGCGGATAGAATAGTATCTCCAGGCTCTCACTGTTGATGGTTCAGTGGGTGCATATGATACATGTGTGGCTCACAGATGAAACATTATGATGTGCAGAAAACGTGATTTTCTTCACTTCCCCACATCCCTGTAGCCTATTTTTCTACTTAAATTTTTCTTTTATGGCGATCCTGAACATTCATTTAAACCTAATTTTACCTGAATTAAAAAGGACTAAGGGGGTAAATGAGATAAAAACAAAAGCATTATTTCCCGTGCTGTTCTCCTTTTAATCCCCATCCTTATGAAAGTCCTGATTATGAAACTATTTAAAAGGTCAGGTCTAACATCCTTTGAAAAGTCACACACATCTTTGGATGGCTCTTTTTGGAATATTTCATAAATCTTTTTACTGTCTCTGGATGGGGAAGGCCTTTTTGAACATGACACCAAAGTTAGAAACAAAGAAGAAAAAGCTGTATGGATAAAAATATAAACTTCTTTATGACAAGAAGGGAAAAAAAGGAACAAAGTCAAGTAGCAAACTAGAAAAAATATTTGTAGTATGAATGAAATTCTGTGGTTTTTTAATTTGACAATGTACAGAATGCCTGCAAACCAGTAAGAAAAATCAAAACAAACAGTAAAACAGAAGAATCAGGAAATACTCAAAAATATAAATCACCAATAACATGTAAAATGATATTTAACCTCATTAGTAATCAAAGTCACAGTTTGTCTTTCAGTTTAGCAGAGACTTAAAAAATATGATACCCAGTGTGGCAATAAAGTCACTTTTATCCCCTGCTGTGAGAATGTAAATTGATTAAAAAAACCTTTTGATGAGGACAGTTTGTCATTAACTATCAAAAGTCCTAAAAATTTGCTTACCACTGATTCAAAAATTTTACTCCTGGTACTTTTCTTCCAGCTTTATTGAGATATAAGAGACATATAACATTGTGTAAGTTTAAGGTGTACAACACAGGGTGACGATTTGATACACATATGTTGTGAAATGGTTACCACCGTAGGGTGAGTTAACACCTCCATCACCTCACATAATTACCATTTACTTCTGATATTAATCTCAGGAAAATAATAATTTAAAAAGCACAGAAGAATGCTCATCACAATATTATCACAATATTACTTATAATAATAAAAATAGTTGTTATATATAGCATATTATAAGCAAGGCACCTTTACTTCTCACAAAAGATTATCCTTGTTTTACTGAGGATAGTGAGGCGCAAAAAGACAGCAGAGCTTGATCACAATCACGGGGTTCAAGGTCAGGCAGCCTGCCTCCAGAGTACGTGTTCTTACACCCTTATACTATGGTGCCTCTTAAAATCAGTCTGAATGTCCAACTTAGTGTTTGCCAGTGTAGGGTGCACTTAGTAAGTTATGGTGTACGCATCAAATGGATCTGTATGCAACCACAATTATTTTTATAAAAAGTGCTCATTTACAAGTATATGTGGTCTGATCCCATTTTCCTTCAAATGTTTTTTAAAAAACTCAAAACACATCAAAACGAGTATTATGTTTGTCTCTGGGTGTTGGTATTACGGATAATTTTAGTTATAGTAGTTAAAAGCATTGCCTTTGGAATTAGAAAGACCTGGTTTCCAGTCCTGGCTTTGTTCCTTTTTTCGCTGTGTACTTTTTATTGCTTCTTAAGCTCTGGATGCCTCAACTCCATCATTTAAGAAATAGCGATTACCAGTCTGTCAGGGGTGTGTGCGTGTCAGACAGAGAGAGAATATTAAATGATACAATGTATGTAACACAGTTAGGACGCGTCATGATAAGTGCTCAATACATAGAAATAATTATTCTTATCATTTTTATAATTTTTCTATGCTGTCTGAATGTTTTATACTAATAATATATCACTTTCATATTCAGAAAAGTTAAGCCATTTCTATTTTGGAAAAAAATAACGCAAAAGGAGAAGGAAAAAAGAAGGAGGGTATACTCAGTGGTAGAGTGCATGCTTAGCATGCACAAGGTCCTGGGTTCAGTCCCCAGTACCTCTGTTGAAATAAATAATACTAAATAAATAAACCTAATCACCTCCCTCCTCCAAAAAAAAAAAAAGAAAAGAAAGAAACCAAAAGAAGAAGAAAAATACCCCCAGAAAGAGAGCTCAGGATGCTTTGTAATTGATCTGCTATTTGTCGCCATCAGGTAAACATTCAATAATGCTTGGTTTGTTGTACTGGCTCCCAAAAATACAAATAAAGGAGGGAAATGTTCTAGACAAGCATTCGGTATATCAGTGATTAAAGACTCGTAGCCATTGAGCAAAGAGGCAGGTAGCCAGAATTTCTGATAACAGTGGGAACTACTGGCAGAGGATTGGCACCCGCTGCTACCTTGGTTCTGCTTCCAGGCCTGGCGGGTGCTCGTTCTGGACCGGCTGTCTCCGCAGCGCTGCGCGTCCCAGGAAGGGCCTGGGGCACGCTGGAAGCTGCACCTCCAGTGGAAGCAGGCTTGGTGTTTTCCTGCTGTGTGTAACTGTGTCCACACAGATGCGTTTCTGCATTCTTTGCTGTATTTTCCATCCACCACGTGTCTGTTACGACCATCAAAAGACTGAATATGGAATGAATGTTTATATTTATAGGAAAAATTAATTTTTCAAAATCATGTATTTATTATAGATTTTACATCCTGAAGTCCAGTCTCTGGATCTGCGGAGCTGTGATATTTCAGATACTGCTCTCCTGCACCTGTGTAACTGCAGAAAACTGAAGAAATTAAATTTAAATGCCTCGAAAAGGAAACAGAATTTCCGTAACTTCGAAAGGTGTGTTTATTAACAGTAAATGAATTGGTAGAGTACTATTCACCATCTGGCATAATTTTGGAGTAAAGAAGGGAAAACATGTCAAAAGAGAGTATGAAGATGTGAAAGAAATAGAAACAATGTTAATAAAAATATTCAAACTAAGCTAAAGAATCCAAACTAAAATTCTTGTTTATAACCAACGCCGAAAGTTAAGAATACATTGAGTAAGTCACTACCTTGTATTTTAAACATATTTAAAATAAACATGGATGGATACCTCTATATTTTAAATATTTTGCCTAGTATAATGAAACAAGAAATGATCAATTCATACTTTGTTAAGGCTTTCTTGATGCAATATTACAACAGAAAATTAAATTATCATCAGATTAAATTTACTAGGCACTCTCCTATCCCTCTGTACAATACATGTTTTTTTATAGCAAGACAAAAACTGCATTTTTCAGTGTGATTGTTACATGAATTAGTGGAATTTTACCACTTTTTTCAATGTAGGGTTGTACCTTTTCTTCAATATAAGAAAGGGGGTTATTGGGCTAACTAGGTTTCTGGAAAATTTTGTGGGTAGCTGGCTCTATTTCTCAGTCAGCTTGCTTAGCAAGTTAGGATATTCATAAAATTGCCAAATAAGCATAAGTTTTTAAATGTTTACACAAATATTGACTTCCTAAAAAGAATTTTCATGCTGGATAGTAATGAATAAAATAATAGTTCTTTCTTAAGATTTTAAAAAACAATAAAAATGGCCTACTCATGAATTTACCATCTTCCCTTTTGTGTCGTTTGCCTGTGAAAACGCTGTAGTGTCTGTCCGTGGCTGAAGGGCCCGGGGTCCCTGAGGTGCCCTTTTATTTATGTGGCAAACTCTCACGTACCCACCACCAATGTGCGTTTCCACCCGTTTAATTGGATTTAAGGGCTTCTCTTTTCTTGACCCTTGGTGAAATGTAAGATTGGTCCAGGCTAACAGTGAAGGAGCATGGTGGCAGAAAAAGCAGAGTCAAAGAGGGAAGAGGGAACGCAGGTGTGAGTCCTAAGGATAAGGCTGGTATTTGGGCCATTTAACTTTTGATTTCTTTTCGGAGTCTACAAGAAAATTAGCTTTATTATTTTAAAACTTTTAACAGGAAGGAGACTCACCTGCTATTTAATTTACCTAATTTGGTTCTGAATGATTTTGGGCTATTTTCTAAAAGCAAATCTAAATTATAAATAAGATTTGCCATTAACTGCAGATATTCTGAAGAATACGGTACAGACTTTGTAGGGAATTCCTGAAACATTCCAAAAGAGTTCTAAATAAGGATAACATCACTGGAAACTAAGCATATCCCCACAGATGGACGACTTTGAAAAAGGCTAACATACAGTCGGATGTATCAGGGGTGGGGATTGCTAACGTGAAGATCAGTCACAGTTCTCGTATATGGACACGTGTAGCTCATTAATACAGAATCATGCTTTCCCTCAGGAATAAAAGCTGTGGCTTCGTCTTGCTCATACCTGCATGAAGCGTCTTTGAAAAGATGCTGCAAAGTCACTGACGAGGGAGTCCTTGCCCTCGCTCTCAATTGCCGGCTGCTGAAGATCATTGATTTGGGTGGCTGCTTGTGCATTACGGATGTGTCCTTACAGGCGCTGGGAGAAAACTGCGCATTTTTGCAGTGTGTTGATTTTTCAGCGACTCAGGTAAATGAAACACAGGCTTGAAATGTAGAGAAGGTATGCATTTGCCCAGTGTGTTTCCATGACTCATCAGAATATAATTAATTCTTCCTGTTGTTAGTGAAACTGATGACACTTCATGTTTTGGTGGTTAAATAATTGCAGTGTAATTTGGCACATTCCCCTCAATTATTCTAGTAAGGCTGGAAGGTATGTGTGGCTAAAACATGTTTGCTAAATGGGAGGCAATGAAACCATTATCTAAATGATTAATAAATTTTAGAAAATTTTGCTTCGATCATTTCCATTTACGTGCTGTTCCTTTTTCCCTTTTCTTAGGTATCTGACAATGGTGTGGTTGCACTTGTTAGTGGACCTTGTGCCAAGAAATTAGAGGTAATTTTAAAACATCTGTAAAGATGATGCCAACTGAATTTTTATATTATCCTCAGAAATTCTTTTTCAAACCTAGCCAACAACCAGTGCCTTATTATCAATTAGGTATTTGCATGGGCCTTTTTTTTTTTTTTGCTTCTACGTCTTTATTCCCACAGTAAAAAAAAAAAAAAACTGGTTAAGTTAGATTAAGTCTGCTTTATAATAAAATACATTTTACTTTCAGTAAAAGTTATTATTTTCCAGAAGTTTTAGCTTCTAATACATTTAAGTAGTCTTATTACAGATGATGATAGTGAAAATTTATCAGTGCAAACTGACATTCTTTCAAATGTTTGTGTCTGATATTTTTATCAGGACTGCTTATTCTCTTGCCATTGTATTTTTCTGGATCCTGGAAGGGATCCAGAATATACCACTGTGGCATAAAAATTATTTTGAGTGAAGATGTGTGAGAATCAACAGATGGGGAAAAAAAGGCTTTATCTGAAACCCTACCTTTCCCATCTGCCTAAAACCAGACTTCCAAAAGGATTCAACTGCCTTAAACCCCATTTAAGGAAGATTTCCCATATGTGGGGGGATCACTTCTGTCACTGGAGAAGTCAGATGAGAATGGCACTAAACAAAGCACTGTCACAAGATTGTCATACCTCCCAGCTCCTCTCCTGACGGTTCTGTCTTCCCTAACAGCCATTTGCTTTTCTGCAAGTGTCCTTCCTCCCCCTCCCCCTCCCGGTTAGGATGGTATATAAACACTAAATTCTAGCCTTTTCTTTGAGCTACTTTCTTTGTGAGCTTTCATGTGAATAAACTTTGTCTTTTCTCTTGCTAATCTTTTTGTGAGTTTAATTCAGAGACTTTTAAAGACAAACATAAGAGGTTAGAGAAAAGGTTTTTCCTCCCCAGCAGCCACATTGTGCAGCCATTTAAAAAGATCTTAAATTAGTGTTCAGCCTTTGTATTCAGTGACTGACGTGGCTCCTTTGTAACCTGTTTCTGAACATACATATCTAAGAAGCCTTCTGTCCCAAGCTTTTGGCAGTTTACATTGTTTTGTTTTTGCTTTCAATATAGCTGTGCTTTTCAACAATAAGTCACATCAAATCCTCTTTGGAAGTAAGCAGGCTATACATGAGTTATAAATGTCAGCAATCACTACTGCAATAGAATGGGTGGTGCCACATTTTTGCCGAAATATTTCTACTTGACTTACTGCCCAAGGAGATTTTTCTGTGATATTTATATATCTGCATCCTGCTGGCATGTATGTATGTGTATGTGTGTGTATAAAGTAGCATATATGTTTTTACAAATCTTTTAATTAAGAAATTACCATTTTTTAATACAAAGTTCCAAATCCGAAATTGCATCAAACTGTAGGGGCAATAAATTCTGCCGTAATTTCTACTCTCTTATATACTAACATTTGTTGAGCACTTGCTGTAGTCTGGCCTCCGTGCTGTTGCCTCGTGTTCATTAGACTATTTAATTCTTACAACAGTATTCTCCTGTAATCACCATCGTTTTTAACAAAGCTCTCAAACAGATAACCTAGCTTATCACTTCCTAATAAAGCCAAGGAAATTAGTTGTTACGCAGCGGTGGGAAATACACCTACGCGTTTACTTCAGCATTATGAAACTAGGAGCACCCACTTAAGATCTGATAACTTAGGACGTAGGAAAAGGCCCAGTAACCAATGCATTCGTGATTGTTGGTGCCGTATCATGGAATTTTGCATTTTATGAATTTTCTAAAGTTTATTTCTATAAGTACAGAAACATTGTAATGGAAATCTTTCTAAAATTTGTTAGAACTTAATTCCCTCCTTAAATGAAGTAGAGTGAATATATTTTAACTTTTGACTCATAGCATCATTGTGACCACAATTCCTGACTGAAATTTTTGAAATATAAACGAATTTATATCTTTAACTGATTCTTCTCTTTTGGGTGATACGTATCTCTACCATTTATCACATACCCTGTTTTAATCTGGTACTTTTAATTTGTTCGATTCTGGGAAATTAAATTACCAGTGTTGCTAAATTATTTATAACTTGAAAAATAAATTTGATTAAATCCCTCCTAAAGGTTGACATTTAGTACAGATGTATGTTACAGCATTTAATGAATGTCAGGATTGCCTCTGAAATCTTTGTTAGTCTGAGTTCCCAGGAGCACAGACCTTTTTGTGCATCATTTTGTCATCATTTTATCTGCAGGTTTACTGCAGTCCAGATACATGGTAGTCACTCAGTAAATGTTATCAGATTCTTAACTTTGTATTATAGTCATTTTATAGTTTTCTGCAGTCTTCATGATTAAAAATTTAATTTGCTGTATAAAACTTTTTTACTAAAAGAATATTTATTATCTGCTATATTCTAGGCAGTAGCTTATAAGAGAACAAAATCTGTCCATGTTATATATCATTTTTTCCTTTAATCATTTTTCTAGTGTTGGTAATTCAGATTATTTACAGCTTTTAGCTATTAGAAATAATCATATGTTGGGACATACCAAATTTTTCTTCCATTGCTATGATGAACTCCCAAAAACGAAACAAGTGGGTCAATAGGTATGAATATTTTTAATGGTCCTAAATGCATGATGCTGAATTGTTTCCCATGAAGGTTACATTGTGAATTTGCAATTTTTGCCAGGATCCCAATTTGCCAGAATTGAATATTTTCTTTTTTTTTAATTGCTTTTCAAATTTAGTATATTTTAAATGGAACCTGAGTTGAACATGGTTCCTTCCATCTGTTCTCAATTGTATTTCACTGTCTGTAGCCTTTGCCAGTTTGTGTCATAGGATGCCTCTTCCAGTTTATAATAAGGATGCTTTTTGCCTCAGTTTTTATGATTTTTCAACATACTCAGGTTTCCTTTATTTCTAAGATATGATTGATTATAATATGTACACTGGCATAACATCAACATTTCAGGAGAAAAGAAATACTGCTACCATAAACATACACATCAATTATTAGCTAATTTTACTTCCAGAATCATTAAAATGTTTTTATTGTGGTCAACTGTACATAAAATTTACCATTTTAACCATTTTAATGTGCAGTTCAGTAGAATTATGTACATTCACATCACTGTGCAGCCATCACCGTTACCTATCTCCAGAATTTTTCATCTTTCCAAATTGAAACTTTATCCATTAAATAATAACTTCCCATCACCCTCACCCCCAGCTTCTGGCAACCTCTGTTCTCCTTTCCATCTTTATAAATTTGCCTGTTACAGTCACACTTTGTGTATGTATCTGTTCATCCATCAATATGTTTCCACATTTGGCTATTGTGAATACTGCTGCTGTGTACGTAGGTATACACGTACAGGTCCCTGCTTCCAGTTCTTTTGGGTGTATCCCTAGAAGTGAGGTAGCTAGATCGTGTGCTAATTCTAGGTATGATTGTTTGAGGAACTGCCATACTGTTTCCATGGCAGCTGTATCCTTTTACATTCTCACCAGCAAAGGAAGATGCTTCCAAATTAGAACACCAAACAAAAGATAATACATTTCAAATATATGGAAAAGCATAGAAAATAATATGATAGAGACCTATGGACCAATCACTTGAATTTTAACACTTTCTGCAGTTACTCTAATTCTTTTTTAAAATTAGTACGTCATATCTAAAGCTCCTCCCCTCACGTATTTCTCCATCTTCCTTCAGAGGTAACCACTATTCCAAAGATTCCTTTGTATCTTTCCTTCCATGCTTAGATACTTCATCTCTCTAAGTATATATGTGTGTGTGTGCGCGTGTGTGTATCTCCATAAACAAGATATAATATTCTATGTTTTTAAATTGTACATAATAATTTCATAATGTATGTGTTGTATTACAGTTACTTTTTTAATTCAAAATTATATTTAAAATTTTTTTCAAGCATATCGAGGTATAATTTACATACACTAAAATTCACCTATTTTAACTGTATAGTTTGATGAATTTTGCTAATTGTTCCACAGCCTTGTAGCCACTACCGCAGTTAAGTATAGAACATTTCCGTCACCCTAAAAAGTCCTCTCATCTCTTTGCAGTAAGTCCCCTGCCATGGCCCTCCCCCCACAAGCAACCACTGATTTTGTCAATATAGTTTTGCCCTTTCTAGAATTTTATATGAGTGAAATCATGCACTATATTGCCTTTTGGGGTTTTTTTTTTTAACTTTTTTATTTTGCTTCCTTCACTTGGCATAATGTTTTTGAGATTCACCCATGTTGTTACATGTGTTAATACTTCATTTCTTTTTTTTTTCGCTAAGTAGTATTCCATAGTCTGAATATGACACCGTTTGTTCATACATTCACCATCTGACGGATATTTGGGTTGTAACAGTTTTAGACTATTATAAATATTGCTATGGACATTTGCATACCAGTCTTTGTGTAGATATATGTTCTCATTTTGTGGGGGTGAATACCTAGACTGGAAATGCTGGCTCAGAAACATGCACAAGTATATGTTGAGCTTTATAAGATGCTACCATTACTGTTCTCTGAAGTGTCTGAGCTAACGTTATGTTTAAGAGTTATATCTATTAATAAAAGTAGATATTTTTCATTGTAACTGTTCTATTACGTTATATTAATGAATCGCCATTTATTTACCCAATTTCCACTTCTTTACTATACAAATAACATTTCAGGGGGCATATTTATAAATTACTTCCTTGCATACATGTACAAGCTTTTTTTCTCTA